TGAGCAAAGAGTTGTCGGAAGCGTTGCGACAAAAGAGCGAATTGGAGGCTAAAGTGGATACTCTGGAGCATCAGATCAAAGCATTTGATATTTTCTACAATCATAAGCAGACCAACGATTTAGACAACAATATTAAACTATTAAATCTTAAAAAGTATTCAAACAGTATTTGATTGTAATTTATTTTAATTGTAAAAAATGTATAAAGTATTGCAAATATATTTTAATTTTTAATAAAATATTGATTTTTTTCTACGAGTGAATGAATAGTATTTAAGAGGTATTGAATGGGAGCCAAAATATGATGTGTTGCCATTGGTTACCAAACCATTATTTTCCACAACATATAGCGTTTAGAAAGTAGTTTGCAATGAATACCGGGTTTAGTTTTTTTAACGATTTGACTCTTTATTTAATCAATCAATCATTTAATTAAAAATAAAACTACTCTTTGGATTAAAGCCAACTTTTTATACTTTACTCTGCAGTATATAATTAACGCAAGCAATAAACTCCCAGAATAAGACTCGCAGTGAAGCCTACCTTTTGTGTACACTTTTGCAGAATTTGAGACCATGTCTGCCGAAGACAATGTCCGGGTTGTGATCCGATGCCGACCACTATTGCCAGATCTCGAGTTAAACCAAGACATCTGTGTTGAGGTAATGGTGACACTTAAAGATGTCTTGCAATGCAATTCTATAAATGTTAAACCAATAACTATTTATATAATTTATGCGTTAATATGCATATTATGTTAAATATATGGTAATTAATATACAAATAGACGGATAGCGACGGACAAACCATTCGAGTTTCCGCCCGACAGTTCACATTTGACCGAATATTCGGCATCGATTCGACACAAACAGATGTGTTCGCACATTCGGCTAAACATATCATCGATTGTGTACTTCAGGGATACAATGGTTGGTATGGTTTGTGACTGCAATAAGTTACAAATACATTGTTTAATCCCATTTTTAGGTACAATCTTCGCTTACGGTCAGACGGGAACCGGTAAAACATATACCGTTTCGGGAATACTGTCCAAAAGTTTTGAACAAATCTTTGATCACATATCCAAAAGTGGAAACGACACTAAATTCTTAGTGAGGGCTTCTTTTTATGAGATATACAACGAAGAGATTAGAGACCTTTTGGTGATTATTAGCTAATATTGAATCTGCTATCACTTAAACTAAATTATGCATATTTTTAGAGTAAAAGTCACTCAAAGGTATTGGAGTTGAAGGAATCGACACAATGTGGTGTATATGTGAAAGACTTGTTGTGTTATGTCGTCAATAGTGTCGCAGATTTAGATAAATTGCGAAAAGTGGGTGAAAAACAACGAGCGGTCGCCTCGACTAATATGAACAAAGAGTCGAGTCGTTCGCACACTATATTCACGATTACTGTCGAAATGATTATTGGAAGCGATCCCAAGTCGGCGTCCTTAAGAGTCGGCAAATATAATTTAGTTGATTTGGCCGGTAGTGAGAGACAGTCGAAGACAGGAACTACTGGCGATCGGCTTAAAGAGGCGGCAAAAATCAATTTATCCCTCACTTCCTTATCTCTTGTGATCGCAGCTCTCACTGACTCTAAAGCAACTCATATTCCTTATCGGTATTTGTTGTCTCTTTTTATAGAATTTTTATATACATTATTAACTATATCTCTGATTGAATAGAAACTCCAAATTAACTCGTATTTTATCTGATTCTTTGGGTGGAAACTCAAAAACTCTTCTAATCGCTTGTATTGGTATAAAATGACACAAACAAGTGATAAAAACATGAAATAAATTAGTATTTTTATTGCCATTGACTGATAGGACCGGCAAAAATGAATATTGAAGAAAGTGTTAGTACTTTACGCTTTGCGTCGACGACTAAACATATCAAAAATAAAGCCGTTATCAATGAAGACGCGAAGGACGCTCTCCTCAGACGATTTCAGGAACAAATCCAAGAACTTAAGCAACAGTTGGAGTTGGAAGCCGATGAAAATGAAGCCAATGGAGACTCACTTCTCAATAATAGTAATTTTAATCAAATTAAAAAGTTTTAATTGAATAAAAAATATTCTTAATCTGTTTGTTAGACGAGATAAATGGCTCAATGGTTCCAATGATTCCGAGTGAGATCTTAGAGAAACTCAAGAGTTTAGAGAATAAGATATGTGTTGGCGGAGAGAATCTGATAGAAAAGGCTGAAATGCAACAGCAATTGATCGCCAAAAGTGAAGCCGAACTGCAAGAGAGAAGAGACAAAGAAAGGCAATTGCAGTCAACTCTTGAGATGAAACAAAAGGAGTTTCTCGAAAT